TTTATTAAATAACACTACTGCCAGATGACATGTACCGTGTTTGACAATATCTAGACGGGGCACAAAGTTAGTACTAACATCCTTCCTCTAATAGTAATTTGATCAAGTTCAAACATAGCTGAATGTGATCTAGGTTAATAAGTTCAAGTAAATTGAAAAATTAAATAAAAACTAGGGCAAAGACTCCGTGAGGCGATTGGTAACCTTCACCGAAATAGGAAATTGGAAAGAGAGCTTTATTTAAATGAGACAATAAATACTAATAGAAGTGCTATACCTATATCTAAAACATTTTTCAGAAAATAATATAGACAGGAAACAGCTGAGAGAACAGCACGACGCGTCGCCCGAATTACACGCTTATGACATAAGAGCCGCTATTATCCACATAAATGTGGCGCACCAATAGATATTTCGCAAAAATATGAAGGAAGACGCTGATTAAAAATCAAAATTCTACCTAATGATGTTGAATTAAAGGTTCAATTTACATTATCAAAATTTGTGCCCTCAGAGACGTTTTGTCCTATCATTTCAGAAATCCTAATATTTAGTACACTTCCAGTCTCAATTGTAGCATACACTCTTTTAGTTACGACCCGTAAGTATTATATACGTTAGCGTAGTAACGTATATATCAAGTAGTGCTGAGAAAAAAAAGGATAGAAAATAATAATGCATAAAAGGGGAGATGTGAATTTTGTATAAAAAAAAAATACTAAACTCTTTGCTGTGTATACAAGAGATGTAAAGGAATATTTAGATCGATTATAATTGTACATTTATAATAAATTATTGAAATTTATTGCAACAAAAAACAAAAAGTAAAAAAGAGGATTGCATAAAACGCTGTCTGCGGCAGATGTAACACATTTGTCTGTACACGAGGGTGTTCGAGATGGATAAATTCAGACATAAGTTATAGAGTGGAATAATATGTTTCTCGCTACATCTTTTTGTTTTATACTTGTTGAATTGATTTATAACGTTACACTTATAAGAATATTCGCAAAAGAAAGTGATCGATCTATTTCAAGTATGAGCATGCGATCTACCATGATATTCGCAATTTTCAAATTGAAATTCGTGTTTTTGTTCATACCCAAATCGGCCCAGTAAATATAGCTTAACATTTTCTTCGTCATAAACCCTACCGTAATAGTCCAAAGGAATGATATTTAAACATTTTTAAAAGGTATGTATTATGCAATTTATATATAACCGTGCTGCGTTCAAGTCTGAAATTTCGGAAAATTTTTCCTTATGTTATATGAGTTAGCCGTAATGGCAGTGTTTATAAAACTGGGCAATTATCCTAAAATCCTGGTCCGTGACCAGTTGTTTGTTTGGAACTTTAATATTCATAAATGTAAATTAATTCGAAAACACCCAACGTTGGCGATTACATCGAACGCCGAAATATTACGTAAACAAGTCATGTCTCTTAAGATAGATTGTTTTAAAAAAATAATGAATGGACTCATTCATGTCTTAAATCAAATTGTCAAAAAAAAAAAAATCATCTGCAAAGCAAATATTATTTTTATTGCACCTATAAAATAGGGGATAGGTGTATTTAAAAAACAAAACCTTCAATGAAATGTACAGCTACAAGTTAAAGCAATTCTAATTATTTTAGTAAAATTAAAACTTGTGTAATAACGATCATCTCGTAACAAAATCTAGTTACAATTTTCAAATGTGTGCCAAATTGTATAACCAATTAGCAAGTGCGAAATGAATCCTGCTACCAGGATATCATAAACAGCTATGTATGAACGCGTCTAGAATATTAAAAGCGGCTCGTGCCTGAACAGTTTACATAGGCATGCGACCTAAATAATTCCAAGTCTAGTGTTTGGAATGTCAGAGTTGAAATTTTAAAAATAAAAACCAATAATTTCATCTCTAATAGTAAAAATGAGATAAATGCGTTACTTTCATTTGTTAAAGCAATTTAGTTTCAATTACCTACCATTGCCAAATATTTGCGGAGCTGTTCTGAGCACTTTTAAAGTTATTGATATATGAACTGGAACCACAGTTCGTTCTCGTGCGGTTATATTTGAAATTTTAAAACACTGACAGTTTTTTAGAAGTAATACATTGCAAATACGTTAAAATAGTAAAAAAATATTACATTTTCGTTCATATAAAATTGAGATAATTAAAGTAAAAGTACACGTGGAATTTAAAATAAAAGATTTCTCGAAAGTTCTTTATTATAAAGGTATTAGAAATTAAGAAAATGTGGTCTATTGTGTCAGTGATTGAGTTAATTCTGAATCGATTTTGATAAAAACTTTTGCAATAGAACGTTTTGCACAATCCGTTTTTCTTGTCTCATCAAAAATAGAAACGTGAAATAGAAATAATCAAATTCCGTATACGTGTCAGAGTAATCGATAAATATTTCGTGTAGGTATTTGTGACGAACCTTTGATAACAAGGTGATAACATAAACCCGGCTGTAGTGGAAAAATATTAAAAATACTCTCGAAAGATATTTAATGCCATATTGTAACCGCATGTATGTCATCTGTGATAGTTTTAACTTGCTCCTTTTTTTACAACACAGGGGGCAAACGAGCATGCGGCTCCCCTGATAGTAAGTGACTACCGCCGCCCATGATCACCCACAACACCAACGGCATTACAGCTGTGCTGCCAGCCTTTTAAAAAGGAATATGCTCTTGAAGGTTATGATGTCGTATCGGTTCGGAAATACTGCTGCTGGAAGTTGATTCCAAAGAGTGGTTGTGCGTGAAAGAAAGCGTCTTGAAAAACGCGCGGTGGAAGATCGCCACTAGTCCAGATAATTGGGATTAAACTTTAGTTCATGGCGGGTTGTACGGTCTTAATTGTTGCATTTAGGTGATTTAGGATTTAGGATTTTACTCGGCAAATATAAAACAGCAATCAGTACTAAAATTCAACCATACTAAAATTTTGCATAAGACCAATACGGGAGTATATAATATTTATTGCAAAAAGAATGATAATAATTTAAAATTTTGATCAATATTGGCATAACCAGTTACTTTGATTTAATAACTCAACTATCGAATCGAATTTGACAAAAACTTTATGCGACCAATCTGAAAGTATAACCTTTCAGATGAAAAAAAAAATTCGAAATTGGTTTATAAATTATAGAGTTGTGAGGTAACAAACATAAAAAATACCATCGTATTGAGAACATTTTCCTTTTCTGAAGTAGGTTAAAAATAGATTCAGAATTGCATATATTATAGTACAAAATACTAGACATAAAAAAAGACGAGTCGTGAAATCGCTTAAATAATGACGAACACTAATAGGCATTACTAATAGCGTAGAGTTTCTGTCACCAGATGTGCTGTTTCGGTTTGAGGTTAAAATATAGGAAAGAAAATACTCGGTACAGAGGTATAATACCGTAGACTTTAAAAATGTCAATGCACGAAGGTTTTACATTGTATTCTGTGATATCCATAGTGCTGTTCATGTCTATAAACAACGGTTATAGAATCTATGAAGACAAAACTTCCTTATGACGTATTCCGCATGATTAATATTGTAAGAATTGCTCAAAAACAGTTTTGAGCAATGATCGCAATGTTAATCCTGGTCAGACAGACGTTTACCTATATTATAACATGGCCACTAAAACCTAAGTGACAATGCAGATTTGTTCAATATAAAATCATCTGAAATATCAAAGATAAGTCTCTTTGGTACATGCAATACAGTGACCATATAGTTGTGTTACATATTGAAATCGAAGCAATTTTATTTATTCGTGTTCGTTGCCTGATTAAATCTTATCAATCTTAAAATGTTGTACAGAAATATAAAGACTTTTACTAGATGGAGACTATACAAAAGTCGTTTTGCTTGGGTACCTCTGTTCCATTCGTGTTTCAATCGTGAACAACTGCTTCATGATTGAAACACGCATGGTTGTGTTTTGGTTTTAAGGGTTATATGGCAGTGAATTTACAGGGTACAGAGGAATAACATCTGAATCCTCAGGAATGGCAACGTATGGGGGGTATCATGGGCGAAACAGTATATCCTGTCATGTCTATAGGTGACGGTTACCGCTTTTCATCAGATAGGCCGTCAGCTTGTTTGCCATTCTAAGTTTGCATAAAAAAAAATATATAATGAAAGATCAAGAGAAATAATTCGTCATCTGTCAATAACTGCTTTCTTACACCCGTATATATATATATATATATATATATATATATATATATATATATATATATATATATATATATATAATGATAACATTATCGCATTAAACACTTGTTATTACATACAAATCTCTGGAATCTCGTTTCGCAATAACAGTAATATCACTCACAATGTACATAAGTGTTTACCTAGATACTTAAACATTTTCAGTGATCGACGTATGTAATGTGTACTTAGTTACATACACATTTTTCTTAAAAACTATACAATATTTTAAATACACAATCGGGACTTGATGCGATGTAAGTCTTTACAGGTAAATGGTAACTACATACCTGCTTCTTTATTGTCGACGTTTCGACGTGGATTGTACCCCGTCGTGGTCGTGACCAATATTATTTGTGTATTTAAAATATGTGTAAACGTCGCAAAAGTTTAAAATAAACTATACAATATCATACAATACACGATCAAATAACTCATACTTACATTAAGAAATTATTTTAAAATTAGATAATTATGAAACTATGCAAGCAGTTTAATTAAATGCCTTACACCATGCAACATTACATGCAAATTATGTCTACCATCACATGTTTACGTAATTACTAAAAATAGATGGTAATGAACTACGGTGTTTAGCTCTACATGGCAAGGTTACTTTAACAATGCCAATAAACTAATTTGGGACTACATACTCAAACAAGTAACAATTAGTGAAAATTAATAATAAAAAAAAAACTAAAAATATTAGTAAAATTAAATAACTAAGAGACGTAACAAAATCAACAGAGAAAAAAATAATAAAAATTGCTTACAGCGAATCAAAAAAGTTCATCTGATCTATGGGGTTGGTACTGGGGGAGGGAAAACAAAATAAAAACAAATTAGTAAAAATTAAAATGGTATAAAACTTTCGGGTCTGTTATTGACTGGTATGTGGATTAAAACCGACACCAGAAAACCCAAAAATAGCAAAGCAAAATCGTCTAAATAAAATAATTTAAAATCATAATACAGTAAAAATATCCTTAAACATATAAAAGTAACAAAATATACATTTTTTAATAAACCACACACTGCTCGTGAAATTAAAATATTTTTTATCTCAAACTCATTTAAAAAGTCAAAATTTTTTCTAACTGAAAATTTATCTACCTTTAGCAAAGGAGCATATTATTGTTATCAATAATATAAATAAATAATGTTCTTGTTGATATAAAATATATCCCAAGAACACTATACTGCTTCCCTTATTCATAAAAAAGGTTTAACCTCTCATAAACCCATTTTAGATATTAAACTGTTTTGTCTCTTTCTTTTATTCTAAATTCCTAATTTGAAAGAAAACGACAAAAGAGTGTAATACTTTATATAAGTTTTAGTTTTATTAAATTTGCGGATAAGTCTGTAAATCTACAATTAATTTGCATTTGTTAAGAAATATAATAGTTTTGTATAAAAATAAATGGTGTACAGAAGAAATTATAAACCAAATCTTAGAAAAGAATAATTTATCTATAAAATAAAGACCTTGCAGACTGTGGAACATTCAAGCAATTAGGCGTTTTTAGAGTTATACGTATTTGGCCCCACATGTGGGATTACCCTACAAGCGTGAATTCGTGGGACTATAAAACTTCTATTACATGGTTCAATCAAATAGATTTCCATTTCATCATCATCATCATCACTATCTCAGCCAATATCTGTCCACTGCTGAACATACGTCTCCGCCATAGACTGCCATAAAGAACGGTCCTGAGCCAACTGTATCTTACTCCTGCAATGTATTTGAGGTCGTCGCTCCAGTGGAGGAGCGCCTTCACTGCATTTTCCTGTATATATAGGTTCGCCACTCAAGAACCTTTTTTTCTCATCGGATGACGGTTCTTTGAGTTATGTGACCAGCCCATTGCCACTTTAGTTTGTTTATTCTTCAGGCTATGCCGGTGACTTTGGTTCTTTTGCGGATATCCTCATTTCGGATTCTGTCACGCAAAGAAACTCTGGGCGTAGTTCTCTATAGTTCGGTGTGTAACTTGAAACTTTTGCATACGGACAACAGTGTAGGACCATGTTTTGGTTACGTAGGTCATCACTGGCAGTGGTTACAGACCTTCGTCTTTTGGGTACTTTGGATTAGAAGATGTGGCGTAGATTTATTTACTTTCTTATTTTAATTATCAAATATTAGTCGTCAACAACGACTGTATCAGCCCATATTTGTGGTCCGATAGAATAATTGGGTCGAACCAATGACTCAGGACTCAGTAGAGACACAACTCCGCAACGACTTGACCGCATATTTGGCTCCAATTAATGGCCTACATTTAACATACTCATATCTTATATACACAATATACTGAGTACATTGAGTATGCAACATAATAGATATAGCACGAAAATTTTATTTCATAACATGAAATGTTACGTAAATGATTCAATTTAAATAACATCCGACGTAATACGTCTATTTATATATATTATTTAAGTGATCAAAGTCATTATATTTGAAACAATATAATGTTACACACGAATTTTTAGTTAAGAATTACAACAACACTATCTCATAAAAATCGTATTAAGATAAGCGTTTTGTAATTTTCTATCAAATTAAGAATTTAGCTCGAAAGATACAATATATTTTAACTAATTAAGACTTTATTGTTAGGTAGACTATTTGGTGTTACAAAACGTTATGTCGACTTTCGGTTCGCGTTGTTTCCTGATCTATCTAGAATAATACAATTAAACGTGTTTATTGTAAAAGAGGCTTTTTAAATAAAATATCGTAATACTAATATTAGTTAAGGTATAGTTAGAACTTCTCAGAAAAATGTAAATGATCGTGCAGTTACAAACACCATTCGAAATTGGTGTTAAAATTTCTAAATGTGAACACTTAAGTTAAAAACATTTTTATAAGTGTTGAACATTGCTTAGTTTTCTTGGTAGGATAATCCTTGTTATAACTATCTGGGGACACAGCTTAGAATATCCAGATTAGAGTCTGGGTATCAGTTAGTATACACGCTTACAGAGTCAAAATCCCGCATTTGGGCCAAAATACGCATGACTTATAAAAACGTAGTAATTGAATTTAAAAAATCATGTAGATTCATCTATTTGTAACTGCATTCTTATTAGTTTTATTTCTTGAATTAGCTTCTTGTCAAGGTTTTCATACATATCACTGAATGGAGTTCTTCAAAACGTATGACTGATTCTAAATAAATAAACAAAATAATAGCTTCATTCATTGATAAATAAATCTTGCTATGACCTTATATATTTTTCTTTTTCACCTTTTTTTCTTGTACCTTTCCCGCATTAGATTGATTATCCGCTAATCATTTCTCTCCCACTGCACTGGGTTGGCTGGAAGAGATCTCTTTTAAAGATAAGCCTACCCTTGCTAACAAGTTGTTAAACTAATAGCTGTATATTTTCTCTTCAAGTGCTATATATATATATATATATATATATATATATATATATATATATATATATATATATATATATATATATATATATATATATATATATATATATATATATATATATATATATATATATATAAATAATTCAGTCTAATGTCTAATACCCGTATTAGACTATATAAAACGCTACCTTCAAATTAATCTTCTAAGAGGAGAGCTCCTATAAAATATATACGAAAGGTCGTCAACACTTCGACATCTTTACAGATATGTTTTTGCAACCCGGCACACTGTCTGGCGAGGCTGTTCGGCCGGCATACCTGCGACCTTGACTGTACGTCCAAGCCAACGTCGGCTGAGCAAAAACGCCTCCGGTTTAGTACAGTTCTATTAAATTTGAACGCAAGTACTTCAATTAGAAGAAGGCAGATTATTCAACGTACCAGTTATGTCTTATTAGATATTTCTAATCATTCATCATGTGCTTATTTGAATATTACAATGTCGTTAGCATTAGCACGTGTGTGGTTTTTTTATCTCTTTCTAACCTCATACAATCCTGTATAAAATGTATAAATTGAAATGTATTTTATTTGCGTTTAAACAATAAAACAGTACCATTAATATTGACTATGTGGTCTTATTTTTGGTTACCTTATATTTATGTAGTGATGCAAACTGTAATTAAATTCTTATGGCAACATTAATGTGAGTAGATGCGTGATTTGAAATAAAAACTATAGAAGGATACTTGAGCATCTAAGATGACATAGACAGATTGATATTTTTGTGCCACAAAATGGCAAACAAGCTTACAACCCATTCGATGGTAAATAGCCACTGTAGCCTATGTACGCTTGTAACACCAAGGGTGTAATGTATGCCTATGCATTGCTGACCCTGAGGAAACTTTAATACGTCCATTTTAAAGAATGCCATAAGTTTTAATCTCATTTAATAATGCTCGAATATCACATTTAACAATATGATACCGTATCTACATTACAATAAGAATCATTTAAGATTTTGTGATTTTGTGGGACGCACCCACAGAAAAACCTGACAGTAACCGTGGTAAAACCAATTATTTTGATTTAAAAACTGAACTACTAAGCCGATTTTGATAAAATTTCTATGAGGCCAATATGAAAATATATCATTTGAGATAAAAACAAAGAATTTTCCAAATCAGTTCTATAACTGACGGAGTTATGAGGTAACAAACATAAAAAATAAACAACCGAACTGAGAAACTCTTTCTCTTTTTGAAACTCAACTTTTTGAAGTCGAATGAAAAGTAACTATCTGTCTATGTCACATAAAATGCTGAAGGATCTTCTATTGCTACACCCAGTGAGCGAATGGCCTTTCCCCATAGACAAGTGGCAAACGAACCGCCATCTACCGACAGAATCGTTTCGGTTAGCCCTCACATGAGAAATAATAAGGTACCGTACATTGTCATCTCATTCTATCTCATGGACGTAAGTGTCTAACAAATTGATTTAAAAAAGTCTACGAATCTGTTATGAAGAAGCTGTGAAAGCACTTCATCATCGTCTTCATCATCTTAGATTTCTGTCGTTGTTTTATTGGTATTATAGTATGTATCTATGTATCCTATTTAAGAGCTGCGCTCTTGTCGGTGGAGCTCTTGCCACTCACTACGATTTCATCGAGTCTCTTCACCTCTTAAAACGACACGAAACCAACTCCTTCCTTGATCTGCCTGAATTAACTATGCCTTGGTTTACCTCATTCACCTTCTTCCTTCTATCTTACCTTTTATTATAATGTTCATAAGTTCGTCGTGTCGTATCAAGTGTCACATTTTATATATATATATATATATATATATATATATATATATATATATATATATATATATATATATATATATATATATATATATATAATGTTTTATTATATATATTTGTATATGTAAATAATATTTATTTAATGTATTTATTAAGTATATTCATATGATCGTAATGTGCAATAGCTCTCCATTCTATGTGTTATATATAATTTGTAAGTCAATATGGACACATCTGTAACTGTTTATTTACAACAATTTCCAATTCTTCACCGTTTAATCACATTCTTGTTTAGCTTCTAGTTCAAAGGTTGACTGGGAGAAAATGTTATATAGCATTAAGTTTAGCTTTCGTATCGATCTTTTCTTCTTTTGTAATGTGATTAATAAGGAATAAATAAAGAAAAATAAAATGTACTAGCAATGATGATTCTGTTGATAGTTTCGTTTGCCGTTTGTCTAGGGAAGCTTGATACATTTAAAGCAAAAATGGCGAGCGCTCGCGGATCTTACGTACTGATAACCAATGATAATGCTCGATGCTAACGAATTGGAAAAACATTGACTGAATAATTTTCTTTGTGTTTTATTACCTATTTGAAAATACTAACACGTCCACGTTACTAAATACGAGGAATCCATTTTAATAAGGACATAACAGTCTAGATCTCGGCAGTGTATTAAATTTATTCTTTAACGTAAAAATGTAAGGTTTACTTTAGACTTCTGACATTTGTTATAGGAGTACAAAGTCGACTGAATTATCAAGTATAATAAGCATACTAAGTTTATAGGATATTATAAATAAATAAAGTTATATATTTTTTTGTATTTTGAAAAATTTAATCATAAGTGTATACAAAGAAAAACCTATGCCATTGTCATTCTTTTAAAATAATATTTTACCTGTAAAACGGAACATTTTTTAATAAGAAAAATCGGGAAAAACGAGAAAATTTTTGTCTCCACACCAACATGTGTTTAGCTATTAAGTTAGTGTCGAAGGTGCAACATTTTTCGTCGTTTTTTGACCCATGTTTTTTGAGAAAAACGTTCAGTTCCACCTGTGGAATACTAAAATGATGCTAATGATTTTGATTTTAAATTAATGTCTTTTGTATATTTTTTTTTTACACAAAATTGCCAAACAAGCATATTGCTTGTCTGATGGTAAACATCAATGCAGCTTATTACAAAAAAAAAAAAAGAACAATCATACCTGCGCGCGGCCCAGAAAAAGCCACCGGAGTCTAGTGGCTCGAGGAGCCGAGGTGTGGACGAGCCAAAAGCGAAGGCGGGCCGGGGAGCGGAACGAGCGGCCCGCGCTCGCTCCATCCGCTCGCTCCTGTCGCGCTCGCGTTGCAGCAGCGCCTCCCGTCGCGATACGGACGCCTCCCATATCGCGCGTTTGCGTTCCTCCACCTATTGATATTCATTTATTTAAACATTAATGGACAGCAAAATTCTATGTACATTTGACGGACTTAACATTGGACGGTGTTCTGTACCAGTCAACGATTGGGCAAACATACGTAGGTGGTGCATTATTGAATACAGAAAAAAATAAAGCAATACTTGATATATTCATATAAATATAAACATATAATTAGACTAATATAAACATACACCTAATATATTAAATAAATATATACATTTAATTAATACTTAAATACATAAAATATAACTAAATAAATCAATTAAACAAAACAATTAGAAGAGAAAATAGCAATCTATGACTCAAGTAGAGTAATCAGCTAGAAAGGGAAAGAGATTTTTCTAAGAAATAGGTGACATTCGTCTTGTCAGTCGTCAATTGTTCACTACTGAACATATTTCCCCCCTTGGGGAATTGTGCCAGAAATTGCCATGCTTGGAAGGAGAGTTGATAACCGCATTTAGGCTTTGATGACGTTTAAAGAGGGAAGCTGCTGTCAATCTCTGGATCATTAAATTCCTTTAGTCTCATACGACATTCACGTCATACTTGTTGATATTAACGTAACTATATAAAATCATTTCTGATTGATAGACACAATAATATCTTTGCTTCTACACATATATTTTTTCCGTCTACTTAAATTTTTAACTAATGTTTATGTGGTTAGAGCTTATGAGCGCACATTAACCTGATTTCGCATTGCATGATTTAAGACTTGTGAAGACGAGTTCAACGTTGCAACAATGTCCAACGTTTGCGTAGGTCTTAATGGCTTACGAGAGACGGGAATTAACGTAATCTGCATGTACATTATACAATACATCAATAAAATGACCTAATATGACGAAATTACTATAGGATTATACGAGACTAAACCCTATTCACTTCAAACTAATTGACATATTTTGAATCGATGAAGGCATTGCATAACATGCGTAGAAATAAATAAAGGCGAATTTAGACCATCCTTCCTTTAGAAGTGTTTTAATATGTCAGAAAAAATAGAAAACACATTTAAACGCTTGTTAGAGTTTAGGTCGTTAGAAGCATTATTGGAATTTAAAAGATTTTTAAGCTAAATTGAAGCTATATTTAGCATATACCACTTCATATCAGCCATCAACTGTCCACTGCTGAATATAGGCCTCACTCTTGGAGGGTTTGCCCGTTTGGCAGGCGGGTTGTCAACCACAGTTAAGCTTTGGTGGTGTTTTAAGAGGGACGCTGCTGCACATCCCTCGATCATTAAATTCCCTTAGTCGTCTCTTACGACACTTACGGGATAAAAAGGGATAGCTCATTCTATGTGGAAACCACATGACAATATATATATTTAGACTGCATTCAGCATCTTCCTACCCTTATCCCAATCATTTGGGGTCGGCGTAATAAGATTTTATCCATATTACAAAAAGATTTGATTTTTAGTTTTACATTCAGACTGCATTATTGTTTATATTGAAAAATAATCCAAATTCTAATATTCTTGTACAATTATGAGTATAATGATATAAATAATTGTATAGAATAATTATTTAATGGCAAATATGTAAAAAGTTTTATCATATAAACACAAGATAAGACTCGATAAAAGTATGTTTAATCGAATGATAATTGGTACTAAGCCGATTGATTGCAACGTGTAAACAAAATCAGCAAATATGAACAGGATAGAATATTTATTACAGTAGTAGAAACATAAAAAATTTACGATTTAAAAGAGCTTGTAAACAAGTCAAATTGAATAAAGATTGTTTCTACTCTATTAGGTATAATAGTATGACGTGTAAGGGAATGGAGTAACGATGTATTTCTCAGACTATCAATGCATAGCTGAATTGGTTTCAATATAATTTTACTTCCTTATTCATAAAAACGAAAACCTTCTACAAACCTATTTTAATTATTACACTATTTTGTCACTTTTTTCCAATTGGGTATTTAAATAGAAAGAGACAAAACAGTTCAATAGCTAAAATAGGTTAATGAGAGCTTTGACGAATCTATGAACAAGGTCTAAAAATTTGAAAACAAAAGAAATTAGAAGTAGTACAAATCTTACTTGAGAAGGATGTCTCATATACATTTGCAATAGTATATAGTAGTATAACAGTGGTATTACACCAAAACACGATACTATATTGATACGTAGTATTCCAAATAATAGATAACTGCTTCAATCACATATTGACACGAAATTGGCGAGCACTTTACATGGACTGTTGTGTCGTTCAAAAAATAATGAAAGATATAATAAGATATGGTGATTAAAGTTTTATCTGAAAGGAAATGTGACGTCGATACACAGTACTCGTATATAGCAATGACACACATCCTCCGTTACGTATATAGAATGACAGAATAGTTGATGATCAATAGATGAGCTTACACTATATGCGGTTACCTTCTCCAAGTACTAAGTACTAAGATGGACTCAGAAAGAAGATTCGAGTTTCTAAATCTTTATCAGTAGATTGTTTAATTATTGATAATGAATTAGAAATCTACTAAGAAATAGGGCATAAAATAAAAACAATACCTGAATTTATCTTTATATATATATTTAATTATTATTTAGGTATCTCTATAACAATAGTTACTTTTTCTTCCATCGAATCCTTGCCAACAATTGTATTAAAAAAATAATAATCAAGTATTTATCTTTTATAAAAAAGAAAAAAAAACTGATTATAATTATTAATTCAGTTGTCCAGTTCTTATTAATAAGACATCTTTTGCTATTAGAATAAAGACTAATCGGGATTCTGAAGATACACCATAGACAGAAAACACGAATTCCAATTTAAAACAAATAAAGACACCACACTTACGCAAACCGATATATTTTGCTATTGCGTCACAGAAACAGTTCACATTATGAATGTAATTTATTAATAAAGAATTATAGATGTGACATATACAAGATGAAGGCCAGATAAGTTGCGCTTCATTGAACACAACTTTTTATGATCAATTACTCGCATGCGACAATAAATAACAAAGGTAACGATTTGCAAAAATGGTAATACTAGATGATCCAACGATGTTTCTATTTAAAATGTTGATTGAGGAAATCATTCATAGCTTTATGTAGATTTGTATCGACCAATAAAGTTTTCGGGCAATGATCCGTTTAGTTAGCAAAAATACAAACATGAATCATAACTATATTTTTAAATCTAAAACTTTTCTAGAAGTATTACAATATTTCAACAGGGTCCTTCTTAAAACATCACCAAAGCCTAACAAGCAGTTGCCAACCCGCCTGCCAATTGGCTACTACTGGCAGTGCAGCAGTGGTCAGCTAACGGCTGATATGATGATGATGATGATTGCAATTTTAATGATACGTAAACAGATTTCAAATGTGGCAAAATTTAATTGAAATCAACGAGAATAAATCAGATGGATAGCAAAATTATTTTTTTAAAATCGATACCCAATTTGCAGAAGAAAAAGCAAGAGCGAACTGAGAACCTCATAAAAATGTGAGATCGATGACATGAATATATAACGGTAATAGGTTTAAAATAAAATATGGGACACTTCCTAAATGTGCTAACGAAATCAGCCCAATCGCCGCCGGGCCGGGAGTCAATGTCAAGCGTAAAGGAAATTTGGGATATTTTTGCGACATTCAATGTCATTGCTATATGTGTCAATGTTATTACATCAACTTTCACTGCCATATAACCAGATGGCACTGATGTACTTGTTATTATGTCTAGAAAATAAACATATGAAACAGATTAAATAACTAATAACTCTTTAGGTATTGCTTAAAATGAACCTTCATAGAAATTGATAATTTTTTATACTACTGTGGTGGCAAAGTAGACGGGCGTCTGATGAAAACGGGGATACCATATCCTATGGACGTCTGTAACACCAGGGATGTCACGTCGACGTTGACAACGTTACGTAGTTTTTTTTTATATAAAGAAAATAAAAAAATAAGTTAATAATGTTATAATATTAGATATTATTTATTTAAAATTAATAAATAATATAAAGAAAAGAATCTCGAGGATATTTATAAACATGTATTAATACCCAGAAATTGATTAAAAAGTTAAAATAAATATGACAGAAAAATTATTATTGTTAAATGTATAATTAAATACATATAAAAGGAGAAATTGACTGATCAAAGCATAGCCGTAACTGATGAGTCTAGAAATATGATTATAAACAGAACTTTAATTTATCTAAACGTAACTAGAAACAAGAAAGATTTTTTGGAAACTGCTACGAGGGCAGAATATTCTGTGCGGATTTGCGCCAGTATATATATTTAAAATAAGTGGAAATAAAGAGGGCATAATTTAGTTTTGGGTTTATTACAAAGAGATATAAAAAGGCATCAAAGTAAGGCAAAAAATTCTATGCATTACAAAAACTTGCAGGTGGCCCAGTACTGTTTTTTATGGCAGTCTATGAGACAGGCTTGTGTCCAGAAGTGGACGAATAATGATGATGATGATTACAAACTTAAAAACACACATATATACACATAAATAACTGACATGTAAAATGTTTAAAAAACTTGTTCTGTTTAAAAATCACGTGTCAAATGAAATCATAAAGTATATATAAGTAATAAGAAACGTTTGTTCTCTGCTAAAATAATGTATCAATCATGTTTTTTTTACAGGTCATCACGTTTATAGCGTTCGGTCATAATTTTTATCATTATTTTCATTAACATCGGTATAATCATATATAGATTAAGCTTTCTTGTCGGCAGTGCAATATTATCTTATATTTTTGCAGTAACCTTGAATTGTTCTTATCTGTGCTACATATTTCTTATCATTTCTCTTGGATCGTATGGCATTTGTCATCTGTTTATTAATTGATGGTTTTGACGTCTATTTTTATTGCCATTATCACGTCCCAGGTACGTCTTTTGGTCAAGAAAAATAATTATTTTTAAGAAACACTTTCAGTATCGTTTAGGATGCATTTCTAAAATATTCAGACC